TCACAATGCCACTACATATAGACTCGTCGCAAATCTTCATTTTGACAAGCATGAATTAGTTCCAACTGGGAAAAAAATTTATTTACGCAACATTATAGATAAAAATATTATGTATAAGCCAAACTTAAAATCAAGAAAAAAAATACGTACAATGATATAGTATCAATAAAAAAAAAAAAATACAATGATATGGTCATTCACAATGCCACTACATGTAGATTCGTAACAAATATTCATTTTGAAAAGCATGAATTAGTTCCTACTGGCAAATTTTTTTTATTTATGCAACATTATAGACAAAAAGAGTACGTATAAGCCAAACTTAGAATCAAGAAAAACAAATTTACAATGATATAGTATTAACAATTTTTTATTTTTTTACAATGATATAGTCATTCACAATGCCACTACAAGTAGACTTGCAACAAAATAATATTTACAATGATATAGTCATTCACAATGCCACTACATGTATCAGGATAATATAATTATAAAAGATGTATCAAGAACATACATACATTTTATATATCAACAAAAATTTTATTGCATTAAAAATTTAACAAAAAAATTGGAAAATACAAGTTAATTTATCACGATAATCAAAACTTGGTCATGATTTTTCAAAAAAAATTGAAAAACACCAACAATCACAAATTTTCAAACAATTGATCACCAAATTTTGGTTAATCACGCAAATAACACCATTAATCGTCTGAATAACGTTGTTATCCTCAAAACCCCTCTAAAATCATTCAAAATAATGCCCTAATTCGGCTGAAAATTTCCATTTGGCGGATTTTTTAACTCTTTTTCTAAAAAAGCAGCCACAACTCCATTTCTTAAAAAATCGAGCAATAAAAAATAGTTAATCCCACAAATTACACCCAAAATCATATGGAGAACAACATTACTTTCAAAAACCCTCTAAAATAATTCATAAGGGTGATTTTCTTTGTCTAAAATTTATAGTTTGGTAGGGAAAAAAAAAAAACCTAACTGTTCTTGAGAAAGCCATGACTCAAAATAAAAAATCCACCACAAATCGATAAAAAAGGAGAAAATAGGCTACAATTTATGGTCAATAACATTATAAAGAACTAAAACCCTATGATATAAAGAAAATATTTGCTAAAAATCGATTGGAATCAATTAAATCATGGAAAAAAATACGAAGCACTTCCCTGTTCTTTGAAACCGTGACTTCAAATCCAAAATTGACTTGTAATTGACTTAAAAACTGTGATTTCATTTGTAATCGATGAAATGGCGGAAAACCTAAACACGTCATGTGTTCTTCACAAAACCATGAATTTTTTATTTAAATTCGAACTTTGAGGTCAATTATAATGCTCAATAAGGTTGTAAAGTTAGATCCAAATCTGTAAGATTTGATTTTGTTCCTATAATTGATCAAAACAATCCAAAACATGATGATTTTTTATGTTTTATACTATTCATCGAGTCTTGAACAATGAATCGGGCGGTTCACTGTAGAGAATCGCCGTTTATTCTCTAGAACCGGGCAATACAATGTTTTTCAATGGAATCGACACGGGGTGACCGATTCCCATGTCGAATTGCCCGAGTCCATTATGACTCGGCGATTTTTAAATCACTAGTTGAATCGAAAGCATAGTGTTGGTGATTTAATGGGTCTACAAAATTATGTTGAGCTTGCAAATATTGCGCAAAGATTCTGATATAGAAATCTTTTATAAGGTTATTTTCTTGAAAATCAAGGAAAATTATTACAATATTTATAATTTTTAAGAAAATTGTTTCCCGGACGGGACCGGATTTCTACAATATGCAGTCCGGAGCTATAAAGCATCCATCTTTAAGATGGATGCAAATAGGTGGTCCATCTAAAAAAAATGGTAACTATCGATCCAAATGTTTTTTTAATATAATAATTATTTCTAGTTTTCAAATTTTTTTTTGCCCATATTCGTGATCTCCATGTCACATATTATATATTTTTTAAAAAATTAGGACCAAATTATATTTAAAAAATATATTCATTGCCAAGCCACATTTCTACAATATGCGGTAGAGATCTGTCCTAATTTTTAAAGATAAAAAGATAAAAATATTTAAAGGAAAATTTTTTCATGCGGGCTAGACCGCATGACTACATATGCGATCCAAAAAGTGTAAAGCATCTATCTCAAAGATGGATGCAAGTAGGTATTCCATCCAAAAACAATGAAAGCTAATGGTCCAAATATTTTCTTACTAGAACTATTATTTATAGTTTTTAAAGTTTACTTATTTTTTCACATTCATGATCTCTATGTTAGACATTACATGTCCTATAAAATTAACTTCAAAAATCCATCTAAAAAATAGATTTATTTATAGGCCCGCATTTCTACATATGCCGGCTTGGCTGCATAGAAACTTGGTTAATATCCTGTTTCTATGGGGCCAAGTCTACATATGTAGAAATGCGGTCCTCTTAATAAAGCTATTTTTGAGATGGATTTTAGGACTTAATTTTTAGGGCAAGCTTTATATGCTTCCCCTACAGCATAAAACTTATATACTTTCCCTTATCCAATCGTCCATTCTAAATGGAGGGTTAAGATTGCCCCAATCACAATGTCTTGTGTCTATACTATTTTATTTTTAATTTTTTTTTCTATTAACAATTTTAACACCAAATTTTGGACGTCTAATCCTCTATTAAACTCGCACTAGAAAAATAATATAAAAACAATATTTCCCATAAAATAAAATGACCAAAATTCCTTTGAAAATTTCAAGGGGTATTTTGGTCATTATATTTTATAGAAAAATTATTTTAATATTTTTTATAGGTGCGGCCTAATGAGAAGATTGCACGTACTAATTTCATATTCATACAATTTGTATAAAAAAAACTAAAACTAAAATAATTTGAGAAGTAGGATCTAAGATCAGACAATGAGTGACTCTCTTTATCAAAATTGGACGGTTGGATGGTAGAGGAAGCATAGATCTTCGATGGTGTAGAGGAAGTATAGAAACCTTTCCTCAATTTTTAAGGAAATGTAATATCTAGAGATTATGAATATGAATAAATAAATAAGTTTTAAAAACAAAAAATAATAAGTCTAGTGAGAACACATTTGAACCAGTGGTTTAAAAAAACGGATCAGTGCCTCAGATCGGATACCCCAAAAACCCATCCGGATAGAGAATCAGCCGAATCGGTCAGATTAAACCTTAAAAAAATCCAAAAGACTTATTAAAATTTATTATAAATGTTGTTTTTTATGAACCCAATAAGAAATACGGGTATTACATTATTAACTTTCATTTATTTTTTATAAATTTACGAATATTGAGATGTTTTTTCCCAGTAAAAACTTATGTTAATCATTAAACTTGTATCACATAAAAAAAAACCATAGACTAATCATGGATAAAGTATATAGTCATACATAGATTACAATAAATAATGGATTAAATCGATGAAAAAATTGCCATTAAAATCTCGAATTGGCGGAAAACCCTAATCCCCTAAAAAAAAACCCAAATTATTACAACCTAACTAATTATAAACCAAAATTATTGCAACCTCGCTAACTACAATATTATATACTAAAATTGAAATTATTGGTTTATATTTTATAATTATTTTATTATATAAATATAAACAAATTCAAAATATCTTATACTATCATTTAATTTAAAATGTATTATTGACAATAGTAAGAAGAATAGTACATTACATGATTTATAAATCCAAATAAATTAATAAAATAAATAAATATTTGGTTATCAATGTAGAAATTATTAGAATGTGTATCAATTTTTGAAATAATACTTTAATTTTTCAAAATTTTAATTTTTTAGATTTCTAGAATAAATTTAGTAGAAGAGATTGTTAGCAGAAACAGAGAGATATTTCAAATGGTCTCATTGTATGCACCCTATCTTAAAATTAATATTCATAAATTTATGTTAAAGATTACCATATTATAAAAATAAAAATTATAATTAGAACAGTTTTTCCTAGTTTGTATTAAAAAATACTTGTTGTATTAAAAAATACCTTTTATTTTTTTGACAAGAAATACTTGTTGTATTACCTTTTATTTATTTTTTGACAAGAAAAAAAAAAGAAGATGTTGTATTACCTTTTTTTTTGCTTGTTGTATTACTTTTTATTTTTTTACAAGAAAATAAAAAAAATGATGCTGCGAAAGTACCTTTTATTTTATTTTATTTTTTTGATTACATTATTTTATTTTTTTTATTTTTTTTGAAGACAAAAGTAAAACATATATATATTTTTTATTTTTTTGATGATATTATTTTCTTCTTTTTATTTGTTTTTTTTTGTATGATATATTTTTTTCTTTTTTTAAAGATAAAAATAAAATCACAAAATAGCATCGAGCTTGAAACTTCCCTATAAGAAATGTAATTGAAAACCACGATAGCCAATCGCTCAATGTTAAATACCTTTATACAATAATAATTTATATTAAATAACATTTCAATGTTACATCACTTGCCTCAAATTTCACATCGAAAGAATCAAACATACTTTAATAAGTACCTATTCAATAGCTTTACCATGAGCTTGATCGAGAGAAGTGGCATACCTGCATGAAACCTTTTTAAACCAAATTACCAAAATATCTTACCTATGAAGTCATTTAGAATAACGATTTATGCCAGCCGAACCGACTTATGACGTCATATCCGCTTAAAATCACGGTTTAAAACGAGTGATTTACTATTCAATATCTTATTTATTTACTATTCAATATCTTTATCTATTTTTGAGGTACATCCGTAGTTCCCGATTTATAATGAACGATTTACTATTCAATATTTTATCCATTTACTAATCAATATTTTTATCCATTTTCGATTTATAACGAACAATTTAATATTCAATATCTTAACCATGTACTATTCAATATCCTTATCCATTTTTGCAGTGCTTCTATCTTATCCGTGAGAGGGAAAGTGAATACATCATTCATCTTATAAATGAAAAGGTTGCATCCTTATATAAACTTTTTCCTTGTTTTATTCTTATCCTTCCTCTTCCGGTCTTCGTTGTCGTTGTGAGGGCTTCGGACTGCCAGGACTTTCTCTCTCAGCTGTTGCATCCTTATTATAAACTTTTTCCTTCTTTTATTCTTTTCCTTCCTCTTTCGGTCTTCGTTGTCGGGGCTTCGGATCGACTTTCTCTCTCACATTTCTAACTGCTTCATACCTCAGGTTCGTTCTAGGGTTTCTCACATTTCTAACTGCTTCAGACCTCAGTTTTGTTGTGAAGGCTTCATCCCCACTTTTTATGGCTACTCATCAAATTCTGGTCAGGTTATTGGACGGCCAAACCAGATGTATCCAGATCGAAAACCCTAGAATCACTGGTTCATCCCTCAAGAATCTAATCAGAGAGAGAACTGGTATCCCTGTTCCCTTTCAAAGGTTGGTGGCTGGAGCCCTAGAAATCTCTGAAACTAGCTTGCTTTCATCGATCAATGGCCTGTTCCCTTCTTGTACCCTCCTCTTGAGATTGAGAGGTGGAAAGGGAGGTTTCGGATCTCTTTTGAGAGGGGCTGCCACCAAGGCTGGCCAAAAGAAGACCAACAATTTTGACGCCTGCCGTGATATGAGTGGAAGGAGGCTTCGTCATGTGAATGCAGAGAAAAAACTTGAGGAATGGAAGGCTGAAGAAGAGGAGAGGAGGCTTGAGAAAGTTGCAGAGGAGTTCTTGAAGAAGCAGTCGAATAGTTTGAAGAAGAAGAATGGGAAGGATGTGGATAATTATCTGGAGAAGTATAGGGAGGAAACTGCAAAGTCTATGGAAGAAGTAGATGAGGCTGTTAAGGCGTCGATTGATTTATGCAAGGGGGGAAAGCGTAAGGTTTTGCATGAACTAGAAGCAGGATCAAAAAAGCTAAAGCTCTGGTAAGATTTTGGAAACCCTACTTTCAGATTTACCATTGTTGATTTTTGCAGAATTACTCCCCCTTCTCGCTAAATTCTGTCTTGATTTAATTTTTCTTGTCCTGCTTTTATTTTTAATAAAGGCTTCTTCTAACAATCACACTTGGGGTTCAGTTATGTAGATATTATACATTGAGGACATGGTTTCTATGAGTCCATGTAGAAATGAGTCACTTCTTAAAAAATCTATTTTTGAGATGGATTTTTTGACCTAATTTTTAAGGACATGAGATCATGGATATGAATAAATAAATAAATTTTAAAAATTAAAAATAATAATTCTATGTAGAAAACATTTGGACGATACTTTATACCTCGGGACCATAAATATAGAAATGCTATCCCCTATGCATGAAACAATTTTCCACACATTAAACAACGTAGAGACTGAATTTTTCCCCACACATTCACACCTTAAACTTAGAGGGTGATGCACAAAAATTATTTGGGCCTGACCATGTCAAATGTTCAAAAATTATTTGATTCTGACCATGTCAAATGTTCAAAAATTGTTTGGTTTTGACCATGTCAAATGTTTACTATATGTCAAATGTTCAAAAATTATTTGGTTCTGACCATGTCAAATGTTTACTATGATCATAGGATGCTTGAAGAAGAGGAAGAAGATGATGACGAGGATGACATGGATGGGAAGTCTGTAGTCGTTGATGAAGGATGTTCTACTCAAAGAGAGGCTTTCAATAAGGAAGAGTGTGCGAGTCACGATATTTCAGTTAGTGGAATGCGTTCAACCAGTGGTGCTTCTTGCTCATCATCCTATCGGTCCCTGAAGAATGACTCCTCGGATAGTGATTTGACAGAGAATGATTCACTCAATTCTCTTGAGGTTATATCTGAAGAGACAGAAGAAAACTCTGCCAAGGGTATTGATGAATGTCATGAGCTTAGTCTTTCAGGTAGTGTTGTTGCTGAGGGCTGTTTGGTTGGGGAAATTAATGCTCACAGGGAAGATAAATTTGAAGAAGCTTTGGAAGGAAATAAGGAAAATGCTTGTGATTTTGAAGAAGCCTTGGAAGGAAATAAGGAAAATGTTTGTAATGGGAGCACGAGTGCTCGTGGTTCAGAGATGCCTCTGAACTTTGACAATTTCAATGCACCTCCAGATATTGAGGTATGGATTCATAAGGAGCAGTCTATTTCATATGTTCTTTGACTTCTTATTGTGTGTCAATTTATTTTGTTGTATGAATTCCAGTCCCCCCAAATGTGCCAATCTGAGATATGACATCTTTTTGAATTCTAATTCCAGTCCCCCCAAATGTGCCAATCTGAGAAATGACATCTTTTTGAATTCTTATGTTGGTATTTAGTAGTTACATCCTAATTTTTATTCTAATATTGGTTGTTATTTTAGATCTCTTCTTATGGGGATCTTATCTTGACAGTTGGAGGACTATTATTTCTAAATCAGGATATATAGAACACAATGTGTGCGGGTGCGTGCGCGCTTGTGTGCATACATGTGTGTCTGTGTGCGTGCCTGCAGTTATGCGTTTCTCTGTACAACCCATAGTTGTTGGAAACGATTCTGAATTCATTTTAGGCAATTGTGATCGGCTAGAAGATTCTTATTTTTGGAATCAACATCTATACAAGAGGAATCGTGGAAACGAGATTTCTATTTTATAGGAATCGAAAATCGACCAAAATAGGTTCGACCAAAACATAGATGGAATTGAGATTCCTAGCTCTTTGGAATCGAGTTTCCGACCTATTTGGAATCGACTAATATGGAGTCGAGATTTTGTCATTTATGGAATTGAGATTCTGAACCCCATGTCTACTTGATGCATGATTTTAAGGGGTTACAAATCTCGATCACGAGATGGATCAAAACTCAAATCCAAATGGCTATGAAACTCAATTCCATATTGGGTCGAATCACGATTCCAAACTGGTATGATTCTTGATTCGAAATGCTTAGGAATCTCGATTCCAAACTGGTATCATGGATAGAGGCTTCTTAGTTCAAGTAGAGAAAATGCATTGGGACTGATTTGATTTTTAAAGGTTATATCACAGATCTATAACCGTTCGTAGTAGTTTTGTCACTTGCTTTGAGTAGTTTGCATTTTTATGCATTATCTTTTGGTTTCCATACAAGTCTTTAAATTAAAGGTGATCATATGTAATGGTTTTGTTGCAAAGTGGGGACCTGTTTCATGTTTTATGTGGTAAACATAAGTTTATTATTCATTGGGCAACTACGACTCTTGTCTGTGGCTGCATGATTTATTATAAAGATATTCATGCAACGAAAGAGGGGCAAGGGGTGCGTGCATGTGCTCATGCTAGTTGGATAATTTATAGTTTTTATTTGGAGTGTGTTTTCGAATTTTAGACTTTCTAAGAGATTTTTCTGAGGTTGTTGGGTATATGTGTATACTACAGTGGTACATGGATTTCTCACCATATATACACTTGCTCTTGTAGCTGACTGAATTTTGAAGAAGTTGTGTAAACCAATTTTCCATATGTTTTGGTGATAAAGGTGTGCTATTTGGGGCAATCAGCAAAGGTGTTCTCCCATGATGTAAGCTGGTTCTGTTTATGATGTCAAGGAGTTATTATGAGAAAAAAGAACCAGGGAGGTATTTTTCTTTTGAGTAGTTCAGTTGTAGGATGTTAACTGGGGATGTAGTGGTGCAGCCTTTTGGTGAAACAAATTTAAATAGTGGCTTCTAATCTGTTGCTCTCAGTGGGAAATAGTTATTTGGGATGAATTTCCCAAAGCAAGTCCAACATTTCTTCATTTCATTTAGTTTATTGTTCTCCATGTTTTAGCAAAAGCCTCTAGGGAAGAGTTAAATTTAGGAGTTATGAATTCCAACTGTTATTGTCTCATTTGGGAGGTAAAGAGGTGCTTCCAGTTAGACAGGTTAGGGATTGTTATGTGCTTCACACTGCTAGTTGTGGATGTGAAGGTGAAGATGGAGATTTACAGTTGGATTATGGTCGGGGTGTACTAAATGTGTGTGAAACACTTCCTGGGTATATGTATGGTCTTGTTTTTATAAGAAGACTGTCTCAAAGGGGCTGTTTCGAGATTCCTTATAAGGTTGATTGATGGGCCTTTTTATTTTCGAGGATGTAATTGAAAAGGGGATTGCACTTGTTCAGTGCATTGAGGTTGTCAAGAGGTTGTTTATCCTCTATTTTAAGCAATGGTTGCTTGGTTAGAAAATAAATCAAGACGGTTTTCATTCATTAATACACTGCTTTTTGGTTGAGCTATGAATCTCTTCTGTTTTTATTTTATTTTTTTGGAAATTGATGTATTATTAATATTTTGAACGAGGATACATTATTAACACTAGTACAGGAAAAAAGAGAAAATATGAATACACGATTGTCTACTGTAGTGTAATTGAAACAATTTCAATAAAAGGCAGATGCACCCTGGGAGCTAAGAGATGCAAATGCCTAATCTTTGTAAGGCCCATTGGGATATATACATGAAACGGAGGCAAAAGCAAATGCCCTGTCTACTGGTCTCAAATTGTGTGCCGCTTTGGGGGTCCTTTGCTGGGGTAAGGTAACTCAAAAAACATATCTCATGGGCAATCTGGCCGTCCATTGGTGTAATCTTTCCCTAAATCTTAACAGAAGTGAAAGGATATCATGTCTGTCAATCATGTTAATCATGTTTGGAGAGTAGCAAATGGTAGAGCAGATGGATTAGCAAGGAGGGAACCCTATCTAATTTGCACATGATACATCATGAAGAGCATAGAGATTCATAATGTCTACAGAAGTGAAAGGATAACGTGTCTGTCAATCATGTTTGGAGAGAAGCAAATGGTCGAGCAGATGGATTAGCAAGGAGGGAACCCTATCAAATTTGCGGATGATACATCATGAAGAGCATAGAGATTCATAATGTGTACAGAAGTGAGGAATATCGTGTCTGTCAATCATGTTTGGAGAGTAGCAAATGGTCTAGATGGATTAGCAAGGAGGGAACCCTATCAAATTTGCGCATGATACATCAAGAAGAGCATAGCGATTCATAATGTTTATAATTTTTTGTGTAGTTTTATGCGTTACTCGTTCAGACACTCTTTGTTGAAGTGACATTTACAGTTAAACAATCAGAACGAAAAAAAATAAAATCAAATGCACGTGTTATGGACTTCTTAACTAGAGTGATATGGAGTTTTAACTAGAGTGATATGGAGTTCTGAACTTCATTTTCCATGTCAATGTTAAAAAGGACAGGTGAGGCCGCCCAGGTGGTCGGGGATCCCAACTGCCTGGGCGTCTACTGTGTAAACAAAAAGAGGGGGGGGGGGGGCTCAGGGTTTTTTTTATAAATTAATAATTTTTTTTAGGTAGTTATAAATCTATGATTTTGCATTATAAATTATATAGACATAGCCATACATAGTTATATTTTCCAAACATAGCCATAAATATAGCCAAATATAGCCATAAATATACTACAATCACAAAAAATAGCAACCTAAAAAAAAAGAACCCCACTTATGATGCATAACATAACACAAGGTAAAGCCAACTAATCTCTCTGGTTCGAGAAAACTCCACTCATTCTCTCTGGTCCGAGAAAACTCGTCCTCAAGTTTTGAAGTGTGCTAAGATGAATTGAGCATCAAAACCACCTTCTTCAACCTTCTTCTTCTTGGTTTGCTCAAGGATTATAGGTGGTAAAAAGAATTTCTCAAGAGACGGATCCTGATATGCATATCGAGGAATCAATGCAAATTTATTAATTGTGACTATCCTTGAGCTCTTATTGAAAATCGTATAGAAACTTCAAATCCAATTTTCTGGTCTTTAAAAGTTTTCTCGACATCTATTTCATTACTCTTTGAAATTAGGGCCACAATTTGCAAATTTTGAGTCAAGCATGCTTCCATTGTACTACTCTGATTCTATTGCCCTAAATCTCCTAAATGTTCGTCCTCTTTGATATTCTTGAAATCTTCATCTTTTTCTTCTTCAAGGATCAATTCACCCGCCAAATTTTTGTCTTTACCATAGATAGGATATCCTGCAAGGTCCTGTACTTCATCTGCGTCAAAGATTGGTGGTGAATCCCAATCCACAACTTGCTGATTCTGGATGCAACTTGCATCAAAATCAATATTATCCTCCTTCAAATAGAAAATCCTAAAGCGATGTCGCCCATGTAGAGGTATTCTATTACTTTCATCTTCACTCGACTTTCTATGCGAAGCATGAAGGTAAAAAAGGTGGTACTCGAGTTTTTCTTCAAAATTAAGCTTCCGTTGATGCCATCGTGCATCAAACCTATCTATGTAGTTTTACATCTTACCAGTCCGTTACCACTCAAACCCAAACTCTAATTCGCACCATTATCCATAAAAACCCTCAAGATTTTGATCTATCCTCAATAAATTCCTCTTTGTTTAGGGCACGTTGTTGATGGCCTCGCTTGTGCAGCCATACTTTTGTAACTCTCTTTATCAAGTTGTTGATTTCCTCGTGTAGTTGGATCAGATCGGCATCCCTACGGCTAAGACCGCCACGACCGACCATCGCAATCTCTAACTGTCTTTGAACCATATGCTCTGATACCATTTGATGCAGAAAGGAAAGGTGGAAAATTAAATCCACCATTTTCCTAAACTTTAAACAAGTAAAATCAACCATATCGGAGAAAGAACATTGCTTTATTGGAGAAGAATTTTCTTCTTTCATAAAATAAATTCCATTCCAATAACATAAGTCTTCCAAACTTTGACATCCAATCCTTTATAAGTATATGAAACCCAAAAATTAACTTGAGACGTAAGTAAACATTTAGGACTTTGAAATACCCCTAATAATACTAAAATTCCAGAAATATCCCTATGCATAACCATGTGCAGTACATGAACAACAACCATGAGCAGTACATGAACAATATCCTTAAACAGTAAAATAAAAACTTAAAAATATAAAAAACTCTAGAGTTACTAGGAAAAAACCCCAAAAATAGTCCTAAGACTAAGATTAATGTATGCATATCTTGAAATTAAACAAAAATTGAAATTGAAAAGGAGAATAATTCTGTCCCGCATAAGATAATGTGGATGATCTATAAAAGAGGAATGATTGGACACTAGAGAGTGTTTTTAAGGGTTCTGCGTCAGGGTGAGGGCTGTTACTAGACATGTAGACTTTGGCTAATGTCTTGTACTTCCTTAAGGTTTTCAGCAGGTGATCCATGTGGATGGTGCTGGTCTTCACCTTTTTGTCATGGCAGTTGACAGCCCTCTGTTATGGTATACTATTAATATACCCACTCGATATGGTAGGCTGACCCTATTTTATGATTTTGGCAGGACCTTAGGATATTGGGCTTTTTTATGTGGAAATTTGATTGGAGGTTAATATGCAGTTAATGAATGTAGCACATGTTTTTTTGCCCAAAATATAGAAAAAAATTCAGCATTATTTTCGGTCTTGCATGTTCGAACTTTGTGTTTGAAAATTTTGGGTTCTCAGCTTTATACAAAGAAACTGACGTGTGGTGCATGTTATTTCAGGTATTAGGTCTGGAGAGGTTGAAATTGGAGTTGCAAGCGCGGGGTTTGAAATGTGGAGGTACCCTCCAGGAGAGAGCTGCGAGGCTATTTCTGCTAAAGACTACACCTTTTGACAAGTTGCCCAAGAAGTTGCTTGCTAAGCCTAAAGACTAAATCTTCTGTGCTTATTAATTAATTTTCCATCCTTTTGGTGAATCTTCTTGTATTTTTCTTACTTGCGCCCCTGTAGTTTTCTTACTCGACTAGCACATGCACATACTCATGTTGTTATATGCATATCTTTGTAGAAAACTCATGAGGTCTTACTGCTTTTGTAAACCAACTTTGTTATTGCAGCATTGACCCCAAGAAAGTGGTTTTGTGTATCACTAGACCGTGTAGAAGCCCCCCTTTTGTTTTTTTTCTTGCTGTATATGTTTTGGAAATCATGTCCTTGTTCTGTTATTCAAATTCCATCTCATTTGTTTTCTCTGTCTTTTTTTTCCTCCTGTGAATGATTACTTATCTCAATTTCATTAATTTGTGAACCATACAATTATATAGAAATATCAGTGGTCTGTACATTAATTCACAATAAAAACTGGTTGACAAGCACCCCGTTTGGCAAGGGCATCAGCCTTGGTATTACTTCCCTTATTGCAGTTACTGAATTCCTTGTCCCAATCTTGGGTGAGATGATTTCTAATTTGTTAAAAAACTGGACTCAAGCCTCCAAGGCACCATTGGCTCCTCTTTGCAATGACTTCCCTTTGGTGGGCTATTTAAGGCCTTTGAGGAAGAGCCTTAAATTCAACTTCATTAGCAATACAATTGCCAGCAGGGCCTCAGAATGACCCTGGAATTTGACTGCTGTTATCTCTAATCACACCCCTAACTTCTAACAAGCCAGGGTTCCTAGTGAGTTTCCATCAAAATTTGATGGGATTTTTCCTTGTGGTGGTGGTATCCACTGGTTAACTCGTTTTCTTGCTCAAGTTAATCAAATCCCAAGTTTTGTCAGTTATGTCATTCTTTTGACGAGCCCATTCTGCTGCTGTGCTTAAAATCACGCCTTTCAAATTTACTTGTTCCGTACTCTGGTCTGGCAAATGCCTCCGATTTTAAGTGTCAAAAGTACTGAAAACAGTAGAGATTTTATTAGGATGCAACTTATCGTTGAAACTGGCGGGGACATCCACTCTTCAAAGAGTTGCTGCACAGCATTTGTTGAATGGTTCACTGAAATCTAACTAGACTTGATACCCGATACCACAGGTTATTCACTGCTGGGCAGCTCAGGAAAAGGTGAGTGATTGCACTCCTTGTTCATCTTCTTCGACATTAAACATGGCAGAATCTACTCTCGTTTTCTCAAATTGCTTAGAGTTAGGAGCTTCATTTGGCATAGCAGTCGTCCAATGGCCTGAACCTTATGTAGGTCGGAGAGGGTGCAGGCCTTAGAAGCCGGAGGGTTGAAAATGTGGGCTCTGTCACCGAGTAATATTCTATATAGGGAGCCGATGGAAGAGTCACTTTGACATGTTAACAGTGCTTCAATGAAGCTGTTATTCAGCGTTCTATAGCGGCAATCAATTGACCAAACCTTTTGTCGTGCCCATGTAGAGGGACCATGGCTATTGGGTCACTGATTTTCTTACACACCTCTGGAAATTGATTGATAACACTGACTATTTCCAGGGCATTTGTTAAAACCATAAGGTTATTGTCCTCCCATCTCCAATCATTTTTCCTGCAGTACCTAATGAGCAGAGGTACGCAATGAGCTATTCCCTTAGAACATTTGAGTCCTTGAATTCGGGTTTTTTTAAGAAAATTTAAATATATATCTTTTATAGTTTCTGTTATTACGATTCTATCAAATAGTTTCCGTTATTACTACTGTGTTAAATTTTTTTAGGTAAAAACAGAAATTAAAAAAAAAGAAAAAAGAAGAAGATGATTTTACCTTTTTTGTCTCAACAACCGTAAAATGTCTTCTCTCTTGTGGTGTAATTTCTCTACCTCTTTGAATTCATAATTATCCCATAAAATTAAAGGAGAACAACTGAGCCTCTAAATTTCTTAGAAAATTTTTAAGGATTATGAGAGTAGAAGATTAGAAGAAATCTTGTGGCGTACGCTCTTTCTATCTCTTTGAAGTCATGGTTATCCCATAAAATCAATGGGAAACAACTAGTTTGAGCCCCTAAATTCTTAAATTTAATAAAAATCTTAGGGATTATCAACTTACCCAAGGACCCTCGGTGAAAAAGGGAGTTTTTTTAAAAAAACTATTTTTACCCATGTAATGTAGAGAGAGGATACACAGACCCACAAGAGAAAAAAAAATTATGTTCTTGAATAACAAAATTTTAAATTTTCAAAAACTGAAATTGGCCCATTTTGGATTAAACAATCAAAAATATTTTAAATTCAATTGTTCAGTAACCAAAAAAATAAAGTCATCTTTTCTTTTTAAATTTCTGTTTTGACAAGAAAAAAAACGAACATGATAGTAATAACTTAACGGATTAGTAATTAGAGCTTTTTGTCATATGTCCACCAATTGAAACCCATATTTGCTCCTAAGGCTTGCCTCCGCGGCACATTCTCTTCATTAGTATCATTTAGTATCTTTTTTGATTTGTTTTGTGTTGTTATACCACGCCTTCTCAACGCCCCAGCCGTTTGATGTCATCATTCCTCCACTTGAAATCTCTCAAGTTGCTGGTTTGATGCGCAGGCAGTGTAGTGCTGGAAAATTCACTGCAATCATCGAGTGCATCTCCCAGGAAAGAACAAACATAATATTTATTTTTATATTTTCCCATCTTTCTCAAAAAATTTTGAGAATACCACCAGGTACAAATTGATTTTTTAAAATTTTAAAGAGTTAGTTAACTCTAGACAAACCGTATATTAAAACTCACCGTCAAACGTCACACACAATCAATATAAGAAAAACCCTTACTAAAAGACAGTTTCAACATCAATCCCATGACCAAAGTTACATTTTCATCCCTAATTAAAACTCTAAAAAAATGTAAATCAAGCACTTAAAAAACTTTGAAAATAGATGGTTCTTTTTACGACTGTTAACATTTCTTTTTCATATTTCTCCCCTTGTACAGAATGGATTTTTGCGGTGCTAAAATGCAACGCTATTTTCCCCAGTGCACGGGACGTCGAGATTTAAAGGCTATACTTCCCTTATAAAATAAAATTTATAGTTTCTCTCTTTTATCGAATGGAGGGTTAAAATTGTTCCAATCACAGTGTCACGTCTCTACACTATTTTATTTTTAATTTTTTTTCTATTAACTATTTTTTAGATGCCCAATCTCCCATTAAACTCTCACGAGCAAAAAAATATTAATAAAATATTTACAATATTTGACACCAAATTTTGAACACCCAATCCCCTATCCCAATCCCCTATTAAACTCTCACGAGTAAAAAATATTAAAAAAATATTTACAATAAAATAAAATAACCAAAATACACTTAAAAATTTTAAAAGATATTTTAATCATTATATTTTATCAAAAAATTATTTCTAATATTTTTTATAACTACACCCAATAAAAAAATGACACATACCAAATTTCATATTCATACTATTTATATAAAAAAAATTAAAAATAAAATAATTTGAGACGTCGGATCTAAAATCGGGTTTTTTCTATCAAAATTATGGTTAAATGGCAAAAAAAGCATAGGGGAAAAGGGAAGTATAAAAACCTTTCCCGAGATTTAAATCCGTGCTAGGTTTGCAGGCCCTTGTGCTTGTACTTCTCCCTCCACCTTCTCTCGTTCTTTACGACCTCTCTCTCCCTCCCCGATCTCTCTTCTCAAAATACCCCAAAAACTGAGAATCCCCGGTGGTCATAAACGGAAGAACAGACGAACAAAAACCAAAATTGTAAAGCTACGAAAAAAAAAAAAAAAAAAAAATGACAAAATTTTTTAAAAACCTGAAAAAATTTACAAAAATTTGAACCTCACAAAAACTCCCTACCTTATTTATATAAATTTTCAAAAAAAATTTATAGGTACTTTGAAATTAAAACTAACAAATGCGAGTTAAAATATTACAATTTTAGGTGACTTAGATAAATTTCCCCAAATTTTCCCCAATACAAAAGGCTGTCCAGGGGCATTTTTTTTATCCCTAACCTGTATTAAAATGCTCCTGTGGAAGCTCACTTTAAGCACTCCCAAACACTCCCATAAGAGCGTCAAAAAGCTCTCCCAGAGAAAGAGGGAAGCCTGGCCGTGGCCGTGGCCGGCTTGGTCCAAGCCCGTCCTGGCTCCTATTCAAGCAGGAAGCCCGGCCACAGCTGGCCTTGGTCCAAGCGTGGCAGGCCAGGCCGGCCGGGATGAGACAACCTTGATAGGAAATCATCAAAACCGGAAACTATATGGATCATCATGCAATGAACACCCGCGAGCATAACCATCCATTATGGGCCACACATATTTCACATATAAGATAAAAAAGAAGGTTCTAGACACACAAATTATCTGAAAGCACGAGTATGGTTCCACAAATAAAAGATCACAAGAAAAAATAAGCCATAAAACTAGACATTCCAGGCGACCTAGTATCAGTCTTCAAGTATCATGCACAAGAACCTTAATTCTCCACCCTGCTTGGTCTGCTATTTACATGGTGAAACACTTTATGACCACAGTTCAAGTCTCAAACTAAAGCCATCCCAGCAGGTTTAGTAGGGGTTGGCTGACCAGGCATTGTGACCATATCGGCTTCGACTATATCGGTAGCAAAGCCCTTGGGATGTTGTTTCCAATAGTCTGCGAGAGGGTGTATCCACTCGGGTTCTTCGATCTCCTTTCGGCTCTCTTTGAGCTCTTCACTTGATAACCCGTACTTTTCATCTCTTTCCTTCACAAGCTCGGGTTTTACTAACCCGGCGTTCATCGCTTGTGGAGACATCATTAAGGCGGGTGCACCCATTGGGAGCCGGTCCCCTATTTCGAGTTTTAGAGAGAAAATGTTATTTGCTTTTAATATTGTTTTCCTTGGTTGTAATTGTTTTCAAATGGTGAGATTACTTGTGAATATGTGAAACCAAGAGAGGCTAAAACAGAAGTACTGATACATTTAAATATACAATGAATCAAAAATCTTAATTTAATACACAGTGAAATCGCAAATCCTAATGAACATTTCTTTTTTCTTTTTTTGAATATTAACCATCCTCCGTTGTATATGCATCATTTCAGAGGTAAATAATGCCTGACGGATGGTTGTCGAATTTTTATTAGAATGCTTAAAACCAGTGTCAGGAAAAACTCCTCAGCCAAGGGCCATGCCGGATAACTCAGCCACAGGGATGAAAAGCACTCAATAAATTGTGAAAAATGACCAAAAATTGAAAAAAAGGAAAATGTATTAAAAGAAAAATAAAACAAAAAAATCCTTGAAAATCTCAAATGAGCTTAGAAAGTATCAGCAAAATGGATTTAGAAAACAGATTTACAGTTGGAGTTTTAACAATTCAAAAATGGGTGACATACGAAAATAGGGATTTATTGCAAAAAAAAAAAAAACTCACCAACAATATAAAAAAAACACGATCACACACAAAAAATTGGCAGCTCAATCCGAACAAATTTTATGTTCTTTAGAAAAATTTTTGAATTTTTTAAATATCCCCGAGCTATACACAGCTTCGAAACTCAACCTTCAAGTTGCTTGGCCGAGTCCAGTCGCTCAGACTAGTCCGAGTACACTGTTTAAAACTAAAATGCTAGCCCAACATAGCTTGCAAACCCTAATGTAAATAACTAAATAAAAGCAGCGTTGGTGAAGTAAGCTGATAGCTCCAAAGGAATTCAAACTTGCAAAAGGCCTCACGATCAGAGAAGGCAAACAAACAGGAAAGTAATGAGAAACAGAGCTTTCACCTCTATCCACTTGCCATGTACACCAGAACTTTCCATGAGTCTTTGCCATTTCCCTCAGCTCTGCCTTCTGCAACATCTCAGGGACTCTAGGATTCACCCACAATCCCGTTTTTATCTGCCGGCAAACTTGCATAAATTAAAATCTCAATGAGGAATAAAAACATTAACGTTAAGATACATATCTTGCAATGACTGCAATGAAATATAATAATTGCCTGGTTGTATCTAAGCAATACTAATGTTCTTACTCCGCAGTGTGTGTGTGTTAATAGAGATTTCTAAACTGGAAAAAGAGAGAACACAGCACTTCTATGAAGCTTCATTATTCAACAAGCGTGCTCATTCCTATTCTTTGGTAGTAGTACTACTCACCCAGATAAAGTACAAAAATTTACATATAAAACCATGTCGAATGATGCATACATACCCCATAGGCATGAGAATGCCATAATTTCTTCTCTTCATCCGGCAGACTTTCGAAGATCCGGTCAGATACAATGTACTCCACGCCTGTATAATAATTCAATAAGCACCATTTTAGAAGAATGAGAATGTTGATAATAAAAGCAACCCCTATTGCTCGAGTCATCTGAAGGTCCTACGTCCTTAGTTGATTAAGGTACCCTACCACAATAAGGGTGCCGCTGGCTAATGACCTCTGCCTAAGATTGTTTCAAATGACTTGAGGGCCCTTGACCCTCAGCTAATTAAGGTACCCTGTAATAACTGTGCCACTAGTTATTACCCACTGCCTGGGATTGTTTGAAATGACTAGAATAACTTGGAGAGCACATCTTATTTTTTGCTACAATATGATATTTCTCCAAGATGTCCATGAGTGCAAGGTCAATTAAAAGGGTATACCAACGCCATGGGAAAGTTTCTCCAGGGTAACTTCACTTGCACCAGATCCCCCTTAGATGCAAAACAAGGGACGACTGTACTCGTACTCAGTTTCATGAACTTGAACTTTCCGTATAAGATTCACGGCTCATTGGGCATTCATTTTTGTCAAGTGTTTTTGCTTAGTAGGAATATTTTGTCAAGTGTTTTTGCTTAGTAGGAATACAGAGTGTTTTTCAAAACAAAATCCACCTATGATTATAAATGACTAGAATAACTCTTTCGAAATGCAAGTTCAATAATAATATGAGTAGAGACGAAAAAATAGTTAAGATTGACGGATAAAAAATAACCAAAAAGAGCATACCTTCAATATCTTGAATTTGTAATATAGAAACATAGAAAAATTGAAAAAGATGTTGCATATAGAATTAAAACTCTGGGTGGGTGAAATGCAAAGATGTACAATCGAAGTTACCGGTTGCACATCTTTCCATTTCATGTAACTTCGGTTGCAGTCTTTATTGGTCTTTGAAGATCACATGGAAAGATGTGCAATTGAAGCTACTGAAAATCCATGTGATCTCCAAATACCAATAAAGTTAAATGAAAAGTTCTATAGGATGGTTGAGACGACGTAATGTTGGGTGGTTAAGAATCAACATACCGAGATGAGTGAAGATGATGATGTTGTGATGAATGAGTGGCAAGACGAAGGGATAAAATTTAGAAAGAACATATTTAAAAAAACTTAGGTGTAACTCCAATAGGTGATAGGTGAGAAATCGTAAACTTAGGTGGGTTGGTAATGAACATCACAGACTCAATACAACATCTATTAGGAGATAAATCGACTCAAGTAGAAGGCTCAAGAAGGATAAAGAGTAAATGGTTGAAAGTAGTGTAAGAAGACATCAAGACGAACCTTAATAAAGCAAAATGGCGGACCCAACCCTGAATGGGGAAAAATCTAATGATGATGATAATGATGATCCTGCAATGGTTATAACTAGATAATGCATTAGTGCTTATCAAGCTCAATCCCACTTTCTTAAATGGTAGGGGAACCTCCCCCCCCCCCTCCCCCGCCGATTGCAGGCTTTAGTTCCATTTTTCAAAT